GTCGTATTCGTAGCTCGCTTTCCTGCCAAACGTCTCTCCAGCTCTTCCCACAACGATTCTATAATATTTAGATCGGGCGATTGACTTGGCCAATTCATGAGAATTACGTGATGGCGTCGGAACCACTCCTGCACTTTAACTGCTCGATGTTTCGGATCATTGTCTTGTTGGAAGATGAAACCGCGACCAAGGAAACGTTTTGCATATGGAAGCATTACATTCTGGAGGATGTTTATGTAGACTGTTTGATCCATGATACCGTCGATTTTATGAAGGGGACCCATTCCTTTTGCGGAAAAAGCACCCCACACTATAACCGAACCGCCTCCATGCTTCATTGTAGGAAGTTGATATTTGGGATCAAAGCGTTTGCCTTCAGGACGACGAACCCACTTTATTCCATCACTACCGAACAGCATAAACTTACTTTCGTCGCTCCAGGGAACGTCAGACCATTGCCGTGATGTCCAGTTAAGGTGTGCTTTGGACTACTCTACTCGCGCCTTCCGATTCTTCGCAGAAATGAATGGCTTCTTCACAGGTCTTCGACTATGTAGTCCTGCGTCTTGCAGGCGACGGCGTATGGTATGTACAGATGGATTAGACTGTCCTGGAATCAATATTTCTTTAGCAATGTCCGGCGCCGTGAGATGTGGGTTGCTACGAGATGTACGCAAAATGTTGCGATCGACGAGAGAAGTAGTACAACGCGGTCGGCCACGTGTTTTCTTATTAATAGAACCTTTAAACCTGAATCCTTTAACCTTTAAACCTTAAATCCTGAACCTTTAAACGCTTAAGCAACTTGGTCACCGCTGATTTGGAAATGCCAAATTGCTGGGCGAGTTCTTTATGCGTCCGTCCTTGTTTGCGACCCTCTACGATAGCTTTCCGTTGTCGTTCGTCCACATTTCGAACACCACGAGTCTTCGCCATCTTCTAAGATACTAAACTAATGTTTACAGCCGTGTAGAAGTAGCGACAGAATACATAAACATAACGAGTACACAAAGGTTGTCAACGGACGATTTTGGCACAATCAATAAATAACTTTGAAAATCATAGTATATGATGTCAAATTTTTTTATACATTACACACACAGTGTACATGATACCAGCTATCTGCTGTAAAAATTTGAATTTATTTTCTTTACTGTGAAAGAAGTTATGGTCAAAAACCCTGAAGGTGATATATTTTTGGCCGGTACTGTACGTCCGTGGACTTAAATTGGACGTAACAAGGATGTCCTTATTGGACATCGGACCTGTAGGACGTCCGATGTACGTCCATCGGACGTCCTATGTCCGAAGTTGTGACAAACGTACGTCCTATGAACGTCTTTTGTAAAAAAAATGGACATATAACGGACGTCCAGTGGACATCCGTGTGCTGTCTAGATTATGAATATTAGTCACTGATTAGGTGAACTCGTGAATTAAAAGGTATGTGCACCGATTTTTTGTTGACTTCGGAACGCGCTCCAACTTGAGGAGAAAGACAACCACTGCTTCATACGTCAGCGCTGTCACTCATTACGAGAGCAGGAGGATGGCATATACGAGTGTCAAATAAGTAGTGATTGTGGCGTAGACACAAATGTCTTGGAGACTTTGAGTTATAATTGAAGAAATGAAGAAAACAAATAGTGATTGTGAAGAAAAGTGGCAAAAGGCTTCATAAAATTTGTAAAACAGCATATTAAAGGAGAGTATTAATTGTCTAATAATATTTTAAGTGAAAAATATTTTTAGATTTGAGTGTAAGTTAAAAAAGTTATAAACCATAATTTCTTTAATGTTAATAATTGTATAATTATAAATTTGCCATCGACGTTAAATGAATATGTACCAGGTGTGTCGGTAATAGTAACGGGATAATTCCTTTCCGGTTTTTTCGCTAAAGAAAACACGTTATTTACAATGGATAGTTAAAATATATTTATTCAAAGTATTGGCCATTTGATTTTATACATTTTGCCCATCTCTCAGGCAATTTATGGATGCCATTCCAAAAGAACTGTTTCTCCTTTGAGCTAAAACATTCATCGAGCCATTTTTTAACTTCTTCGAAATCGGCGAAGTACTGCTCTGCAAGCGCGTGCCCCATCGGTGCGAAAAGGTGGTAGTCGGATGGAGCCAGGTCTGAAGAGTACGGCGGGTGCGATAAAACTTCCCATCCAAGTGATTTCAACACTTCTTTGACTGGTTTTGCTATATGAGACGGCGGGTTGTCATGCTGCAAAATCACCTTATCATGTCTTTGAGCGTATTGTGGACGTTTTTCGATCAATGCACAGTTCAAATTGATCATTTGTTGTTGGTAGCGAGTATTAACTATTTCTCCAGGTTTCAACAGTTCATAATATACGACACCAACCTGGTCCCACCAGACACAGAGCATGGTCTTGCGACCAAAGCGATTTGGCCTTGCAGTCGATGGGCCGCCTTCGCCAGGTGATAACCATGATTTTTTTCGCTTGGGATTTTCGAAATAAATCCATTTTTCATCACCCGTTACTATTCGATGCAGAAATGACTTCCTTTCATACCTTAGAAGCAGTATTTCACTGACGATTTTTCGATTTTCCAATTGCCTGTTATTCAATTCATGTGACACCCATCTTCCCATCTTTTGGATCTTTCCCATCGCTTGTAATCGTTCACAAATTGCTACTCGGCTCACATTCAACTTTTCTGCCAATTGTTTTTGAGTTTGTTGGGTCTTCACCTAATAACTCCTGCAATTCCGCATCTTCAAACGTTTTCGGCCTACCAGGACGTTTTTTGTCTCGAACGTTGAAATCACCACATTTGAATTGTCGAAACCACGTTTCACATGTTCTTATGGTTGGAGCATGCTCACCGTAAGTCTCTATCAGCAAACGATGACTTTCAGCGGCTTTTTTCTTTTGATTAAACAAGAAAAGTAATGCGTGCCGCAAATGCATGTTTTCAGGCACAAAACTCGACATTTTCAAAAAATTATTAATCTATAACGCTGTTATTTTGGCGGAACGTAACTTGTGTAGTTTTGAGGTTAATGTCAGTAGAATAAATGACATATGTATCAAATCATAACATTGTATACTTATGGCTAGTGACATCTGTTACAAAAACCGGAAAGTAATTACCGACATACCTGGTATGTAATGCTATCATTTACATAGGTGGAAAATTATGTTATTGCGCTCATAAAAAATAAGCAGCAGACCAAGTCGAGTGATATTTTTTTAACAAGATACTCATATCACTCAACTTGGTCTGCTGCTTATTTTTTATGAGCGCTATAACATAATTTTCCACCTATGTAAATGATAACATTACATACATATTCATTTAACGTCGATGGCAAATTTATAGCTATACAATTATTAACATTAAAGAAATTATGGTTTATAACTTTTTTAACTTACACTCAAATTTAAAAATATTTTTCACTTAAAATATTATTAGACAATTAATACTCTCCTTTAATATGCTGTTTTATAAATTTTATGAAGCCTTTTGCCACTTTTCTTCACAATCACTATTTGTTTTCTTCATCTCTTCAATTATAACTCAAAGTCTCCAAGACATTTGTGTCTACGCCACAATCACTACTTATTTGACACTCGTATATGCCATCCTTCTGCTCTCGTAATAAGTGACAGCGCTGACGTATGAAGCAGTGGTTGTCTTTCTCCTCAAGTTGGAGCGCGTTCCGAAGTCAACAAAAAAATCGGTGCACATACCTTTTAGTTCACGAGTATACACGCGCGTGAGGCGCGCGCGCCGGACCTAAGCACCACATAGAAGAGCACTTAGGCCCAGTTCCACAACTTGCTTTAAACGGAGTTTAAAGCAAGTTGTGGAACTGGGCCTTATTCGTTAACTTTAATACGTTCTTCTACAAAAACTACTTGTCGGACGCAATTTTACTAAAGGAAAAAGTAGTTTATTTTAGCATAAAGTATTATTTGCTGTACTCCGAATGCAGAAATTTCGGATCACCCTGTATATATATAAATAATTCTAATAGATATGATACATCAGGTAAATAATTCTAATAGATATGATACATCAGCAAATTTGATTTTGAGTTTTCTTTTGCTCACTTTCCTTGTTTTCAATAGTGGATTGATGTTAGGTGAACTTATATGAGGTTAGGTGGTGTCATCTTTGTCACTATATTGGTTGCGTTCAGAAAACAAAGCGCTCACTGAGCGCTTAGTAACTATTGGTCCTTACTATTAAATCCTTACATTTAGACCAATAACGTTGACGAATTACTCAACCGTTGTGTAACCGTTGTGTTTTCTGAACGCAGCCATTAGCGAGCATTATGGGCCTTCTACAATAAGCTATTAGTCATAAGTTGTAACCAAATTGACCAACCACAGTCGATTATTTTTGAAATAATCAATTGTGATTGGTCAATTTGCTTATAGCTTATGACTAATTGCTTATTGTAGAAGGCCTCTATTCATTAGTGTGATTACTGTTTCACGAGTCCCAAGGGTGATATATATAATGAGGAGACACCCAATTCGATACAGCACGATTGGATACAACCAACCGGTGCAAAATATTATCTGGTAAATTACTAGATCCAACCAATCATTTACTTTGTGTCTGATCATGCTGTGTCGAATAGATTTACACCCAATCATGTAGATGGTGTAGATCTGTCTGGAGCAGTGTGCCAAAATTCACTGCTAGTACTGAAAATATATAGTTTGTGTCACTTATATTATAGATTTTTAATGCTGGCAGTAAATATTGGAACACAGCCTAATAGTTTGTTCTTTTTAGCTGCACTGCGGAACTAGTGCAATAAGTTAGAATGAGACAACTATATTTTTTTTCACTTTAACTTATTGCACCAGTTCAGTAATGCAACTAAAAAGGATAGACCATAGGTCTGTAAAGCTGAGTTCTGCTGGACTCAACCAATGGATTGGTTATAAGCGACGTATCAGCATGCATTTGCCCCCTCTTTCTTATCCCTTTCGGCACTGGTAACGGATGATCATAGCAGAAAACATCATCGCCAGCCATTATATCAAGAGACGCGAATGTTTCGGTGTCAACGTTACTGAGCTGATTTGTACGCAAAATGTACGAAGGGGAGTTTTCGAAGATACTGAATCCCCCTGATGGGGAACAAAATCCATCACAATTGCCGAAGAATATAGCGATGTTCCTTGTAAAACTTTGGAGGCTTGTCAATGATCCGAAAACGGATAAGTTCATTTGCTGGTCGGCGGTAAGTGCAATTTTATTTTGTATCTCGCACCGCGTTGACGGTTGATTGGCACGAATTAGCGAAGTAACATCTGCGTATAACCAAATATCGACGCCGCATTCAGTTTCCTTTGTTGTTGAATTCCTATCGTTGTCGGCACGTAATTATAGTTCAAACAATGAAGCATCCGACGTTTCTACTGCGACGCTCGTACAGATTACGTTTGTTATTCGCTGATATTGTAAAGCTTTTACTACCTTTTTAAGCTATTCGAAGGGCTCATGCGTTATTACGATCTAAGAATCTCCTTATTTTCCATTTTAATATCAGATTGCTTCTTGTAATACTGATATATGCTATCAACTTGGTGGCATTCAAGTAGACTAAATAGAAAATATTTACATTCTTATTGCTGAATAAGCTTATTATGAATATATGTATAGTTTTAATTTAACAACTGCAACAGACTTTTATAACTAGTAATTGGCCTGACTAGTAAATGTAAGGGATGGGTATTTTTGTAAGCAAATGTGAAGTTGATATATATATATATATACAGGATGTTCCATTTTAAATCCCCCAGGCAAATATCTCGAAAAATATGGAAGATACTGAAAAATATTTCAGACAAAAGTTGCATGATTTTAAGAGGGACATAAAACAACTATATTAGTTTGTTTGCACATAATGCCACTTTCGAGATACTCACTGATCGTTTTATTTTCCTTAAATAGAAATTCCAATTTTTTATTATATCATCTTCTTCTATCAATTAATTTGAACAACTTTTGTCTGAAACATTTTTTTATTTGCTTAATATTCTTTGAGATATTTAAGGAAAACTTGATAACTTTTTCAATATTTAACTTACAATATCTCGCTAACTTATTGTCGAAAGAAAAAATGGTACTAGACCTTTTTTACTCTACTTAGTTTTAAGAATATATTGTTACAATAGCATCCTGATTTTTGTTAATTTGATGATTTTGAAATTTCCAAAAGTTGATAAGTTAACAAATGTTAGGGTACTATTGTAACAATATATTCTTGAGATCAAATAGAGTAAAAAAGTCTAGTATTATTTTTTCTTTCAACAAATAACGAGATAAGTTAAATATTGAAAAAGTTATCAAGTTTTCCTTAAATATCTAAAAAAATATTAAATAAGAAAATATTTCAGATAAAAATTATTCAAATTAATTGGTAGAAAAAGATGATGTAATAAGAAGTTTAGGTTTCCATTTAAGAAAAGTAATGATCAATGAATATCTCAAAAATGGCTCCATCTGTAAACAAATTGATATAGTTATTTTATGTCCCTGTTGAAACTATTTAACTTTTATCTGAAACATTTTTCCATATCTTCCATATTTTCCGAGATATTTGCCTGGGAGATTTAAAATGGGATACTCTGTACATGCAGGGCCATTTTAATTTATCCACACTGATAACCTCGAAGATTATGGAAATATCGAAAAATGTCCAAAAGAAAAGTTATAGGGTTCGTGCGGGGTCAACTGATGGTGACCTTGACTTTGACTTTGAAGGGCATTTTCAAGGTCAATCGAAGGTCAACTTAATTTTTTAAAATAGAAAATATAATTTTATATTATATCTTCTTCTTCTACCAATTAATTTTAACAACTTTTATTTGAAACATTTTTTTATTTGCTTAATATTTTTTGAGGATTTAAGGAAAACTTGGTAACTTTTTCAACATTTAATTTACGATATCTCGCTAACTATTCGTCAAAAGAAAAAATGTTACTAGACATTTTTACTCTATTTAATATCAAGAATATATTGCTGTAGTAGTGCCTTTACTTTTGTTAATTTATCGATCTTTGGAAATTTCAAAATCATCAAATTAACAAAAGTAAAGGCACTATTGTAGCAATATATTCTTCATATTAAATAGAGTAAAAAGTCTACCATTTTTTCTTTCGACAAATGATTAGCGAGATATCATAAGCTAAATATTGAAAAAATTATCAAGTTTTCCTTAAAAATCTAAAAATATGTTAGGCAAATAAAAAAATATTTCAAACAAAAGTTGTTCAAATTAATTGGTAGAAAAAGAAGATATAATAAAAAGTTGGGCTTTCTATTAAAAAAAATTAAGTTGACCTTCAATTAACCTTGAAAATACCCTTCAAAGTCAAAGTCAAGGTCACCATCAGTTGACCCCGTACAAACCCTATAACTTTTCTTTTGGACATTTTTCGATATTTCCATAATCTTCGAAGTTTTCAATGTGGATAAATTAAAATGGCCCACCCTGTGTATATATATACACATATACATACATATATATATATACATATTATAGAACTGTATATGTATATTGATGATGCAAGTACTGTTATATTTCATAAATTATGAAATTGAGAAAAATGTATAAATATGTGTGTATGTGAGGTATGATATATGTGTGCATATGTGCGTATGTGAGGTATATCCGTGTGTGTGTATGCATTTAAACCTAAAGTTCTAAGGCTAAAGTTCTGGAAATTCTAGGATGAGAAGTTATAAGATTTAACAAATTAATTACATGGTCTTTATATGTAGCAAATATTATAAATTAGAGAAATAGTTAATTAGATAATTAGACAAAACTAATAATATAAGTTGTATTAAAAGATAGCTGGAGATAGGATAAAAGAAGGGAAAGTAGAAGAAAAAATATTAAAACTTGCATGTAATTTTATTATTAAAACAAATAAAGTTATTTTAAGTATGAAGGAAACAAAACTATAGCTTAGAAAATGGAAACATATTGAAAACGAAAAGTTATTGACTGAAAACAGAATAACATATTCTATGATTGATTAATTTCTCATTTTTTTTTGTTCTATATGATTTTTTTATTCTATATAGCCATATGTATAATTAAATGTTTCAAACTTGCAATATATATAATGCAATGAGTTTTACAATGTATCCTGTATTTAATAGAAAAATTTACTTTTTTAGTAATTCTCAGCAAATAGATATTTGTTTATCTTATGCTGCTTATTATGATGTATCTTATATAAACAATCAATAGATATATGAGATTCCTTAGAGCAGTTAAATAAAACAAAAATTATTATTACTTAGTTTACTAAGTAGTAATAACTTCTTACAAGTTAGATCTCTAAATTTTTAAGATTTTGGTTATAAGAAAAAAAAATATAATATTAATTGTGCATTGGAAAGCTAAAAGAGATATACCTCTATATTTTATAAATGATTAAAAGAATCTAAAAAAATCTTTAAACACATTTATAGAAACTTCGAGTATTCTTTTTAACTTAATATTACATACAATATTACAGAATACTTTTAGTTTTATTTTGTTTCAAAAACTCAGTATATATTTCTGAAACTTAAAAAGAAACAAGTATATAGTTTATATTCAATAAGAAAAAGATGAAAAGAGAACTATAGTACAAAATACAGGAGGTGCAATGAAAAAGAATAAATTAAATATAACCATACAACATTTTTCAAAATTGACCTATTTTGTGTTGATATATGAAAAATTATTTTAAAAAAATCAACATTATTAATTGCTCAAACTTTTGTGAAAATATATAAATATGCCCTAGATTGTACGAAAATTATATAATATGCTAAACTCTAACTAATAGTAGTTATAAAATAGAAGTTTATTATATTTTATGTTATATTGTTTTCTTTATTTTGTTTTATAATGTAGGGTCGAATATAATTTTGTGTGTGACTTTTGCATGTGATATGATGTGTATTTTCTGTGAAATAATTTTTAATGAAAAGATGGAATAAAACATCAAGGTTCTTGAATATATAATCAGTAAGAAATTTAGAAAAGTCAATAAAAACTATACAATGCAAGATTTAATTTATAAAATTTATTATTGAAATAAAATATAAAATAGAGTATCAAATGAATTTTAATCTTATACAGATTTTGAAATTTGGGTTGCCTTCCTAAGATTTTTGCTTTCTATTCTGGTGATAATCCTGATGATAATCTTTAATAAAAAAATTCTAGTTTGATGTTATATCTAAGCTTTTCCATTCAAGAAGATCAAATGATGACCAAAATATTTAGACAATTCTTAAATTCAATTTCTTTGTGCATTTCTATTTAACTTTAATGATTAAGTTTTACAAATTAAATTTTATATTGATTTTTATTATATTTTTTTATTTCTTGTTAATTTTTAATATTTATATGCTACATACACATATGAATAAGTACTTTAAAATGTAATTTGATATTTCTTCTAGGATGGAAAAAGTTTCATAATCAAAGATCCGGCATTGTTTGCGAAAGAGTTATTGCCACATTATTATAAACATAATCATATGACTAGTTTCGTGCGACAACTGAATATGTGTAAGTACAACCAAGTTTTATATAATTTTTTCGTGGTTTATTGATATAATAAGAAAACATGAAAAAAATGGATTCTTTACTTTTAAGATGGCTTCCACAAGAAGGTATCTCCAGATCTAGGTGGGCTACGATGTGATAAGGATGAGATGGAATTTGCACACCAGTACTTTTATAAGGAATGTCCTACTTTAATGGCTTATATCAAGAGAAAGGTATATTATAAATATGTGCTTTATATTATATATTAAATACCATAATTACATTACATATATTTATGTTACATTAAATATATTTATTTAATTTATTAAATATATTTATATAATCAAATATATTTATATTTATAGGCTTCAAGTAGCAAAACTTCAAATCAAGATACTGCAAAACAACCTTTCAAACCAGAATTAATGTCTAAAGTATTAATGGAAGTAAAAAGTTTACAAGGACGTCAAGAGCAGTTTGATACTAAATTAGGTACGATGAAGACTGAAAATGAGATATTGTGGAGAGAAATAATATTGCTAAGGCAGAAGTCTATGACACAACAAAAGGTCATAAACAAACTTATTCACTTCCTTGTTACCGTTGTACAATCGAGGAGAGGCGGTCTCACTGTCAAGAGACGTTTGTACCCGTTAATGATAGACAATTCAAATCGTCCACGTAAGAAAAATAAATTGTCAGAGGTAAGATCATTATTGTAATATTTCTCATGTATAATATCAATTATATCAATCTCTATAATTGTAAATATTTATTTTTGTAGTCGCAAGCGTCACCCACTGGACCAGTAATTCATGAACTCGATACATCTGAGCCAGGGTTGGATTCCGAATATATTGCTGCTGAGTTAGTAAATACATCTAATTTATATATCCTTTTTCTTTTATTTGAAAAATAACGGTTTTAATTTTTTGTTTAATTTTCTAAATAACAATTTACTTTGTCGCATCTTCATCTTTAGCCTTCCGAATTCCATTTCTGGATATAGGCTTCCATATTTTCTCCACTTCTGTCGATCTTGTACCGGTAACATCTAATTTTTCCCCGCTGTTCTCAACAGATCGTCTCTTCATTTCGCCTGAGGTATACCGATGCCTCTCTTGGTTTCTCTCGGTCTCCACTGCATTATCTTTACCCATTTTACATCGTCCCGTGCTACATGTCTTGTCCATCGCCATTTGTTTTTTTGCGGTATACTCCACAACGTCAGTGACTTTGGTCCTTTTTCTAATTTCGTCGTTCTTTATTTTGTTTCTCAAGCTAATTTTCAACATCGCACGCTCCATTGACCTTTGACATACTTTCAGACGTTGTGCACTCTTTTTCGTTAAAGTGACCGTTTCCAGTCCATACGTCGTCACTAGTAGCACGCAAGTGTCAAAAACTCTATGCTTGAGATTAATCAGGATTTTTGAATTCATGAGGATATACTCGAGTTTATCAAAAGCCGCCCACGTTAAACTAATTCTTTTCGTTATTTCTGCTGTTTGGTTATCCTTCCTCAGTTTCATAACCTGTCCGAGATATACATACTCGTCAACTATTTGTAACTCGTAGCCGTCAATTACTACATGTATGTTACTCATATTTGTCTTGAGGAGATTCATCTGCAAACCGACTTTTTTGACGCGTTTTTTAGTTCCCTTATTATGTTTTCCTCTTTGTTATTGTTCCTCTTCGTTATTGTTAAACAGTACAACGTCATCCGTTTAGGTATTTTCCATTGATGCAGACTCATCTTTCCTCCCATGCTAGTCTTTTGAAGACATCTAATGCTAAGGTAAATAGTTCTAGAGAGATTGAATCTTCCTGTCTAATCCCCCTCAGGATGAGTATCTTTCCTGTAGTCAGGTCTTCATTAATCTTCATGTGTAAAGAAGTCCTTTCGTATGTGTCCCTGATGATTTTAGTGTATCTCGAGTCGGTTCTCGCTTTATCCATAGTTTCCAATACCGCCCAGCCTTCAATTGAATTTTGGTAATTGATGAAAATCAAGTGTAACGGAACGTTATACTTGGTGCATTTTTCAATAAGTGTGCATATAGTTTATAGATGGTTTGTCTGATGGATCCGTCGTGCCGTAACCCTTCCGGAAACCTGTTTGGTCCATTGGTTGGTAGAAGTCAAACTCTTTATCTAGACGGTTTGTAATCATTTTCATGAATACCTTATATAGAGCTGACAAGAAACTTCTGGGTCTATAGTTCTCGATGTTCGCACGGTCCCCCTTTTTAAAAAGTATGATCTCTGCGTTTTCCCATACTTCCGGAACTTTCCCCTTTTGTAAACATTTATTGAGTAGATCCAACAATGTTCTCTCCAATGTTTCTCCTCCCGACTTCAGCATCTCATTCGCTCGATGTGATCTTTGGAGTTTTTCTATTTCTCATTTGCTTCAACATTGTTCTTAACTCTGAAGCCTCAATTTCCGTGATATTCCACATTCAAAACAACTTGAAGTTTTATGTCTCTAACCAGTGATGGGACAGAGTAGTTGTATAATCTTTGGTAAAAGTTTTGCACAATAAAAGCAATTCCTTCCATCTCCGTCACAGTTTCTGCTTCTTCGTTTCTCATCTTGTATATGAACGTCCTTCCTCTTATTCTTTTGATGCGCAGGACTTTCATGTTCATATTATCTTTTATAGTTTCTTGGATGAGTCGCAGCGTGGCTGGCAGGTAGAGCGCCAGATTCGTAATCCGGGAAACTGGATTTGAATCCCGCTAGGCCACAAAAAAGAACTGTGCTCTTTATTTAGTGGTAAGAAGAGGTAACCTTCCTAGAAAACTGGGCTCCGTCTTCCGGAAAAGACGTTAAACAGTGAGTCCACTCATGGCTGGCACCCGCTATGAAGTACCTCAGTGCGTACTGACTTATGTCAACTGTTCACTTTTATGCCGATCTGTACCGGCTACCTAAGCCTGGCTAGCAACAAATTTAGGGAACTTCAAAATGCTCACAGTTCTAGTAACCGACCTCGGAATTGAAAAGCTAAAGAATACGGTTATTAACGGAAACAGGTTTTGACCTAGGAAGAGAGTAGGAAGACGAAATTTCTTGAATTAACTGTGTATTGTATACTCAAATCTTTTCTATTTAATAGTTCTCTTTACTGTTTTATCTAATTCCCTGTACGCTGGTGAATCTCTATCCATCTTTTTACGTTTCTGAAGGAGCTCAAGCGTAGTTTAGTTTTGAGGCCAACTTTTTTCTTATAGAGCACACTTTTTTAGTTGCTGTTTTTGAATGCTGCTAGTTTTCGCTAACTCATTGATTCCCATATTACTTAGGGCTTCTGTTGGTACAAGCCTCTTTTCCAGTTCGGTGTTATATTCTAATTTATTCCTTAGTTGAATTAACCTTGGTCGTTGTCCTCTCCCTATCATTATTTTTCGCTCCAGGTGAGTGTTTATGTTGATCTTAGTTCTGACGATTCTGTGATCACTTCTCACCTGTACTGAATCTGTTCAGGATTGACACATCTGTGCAAATGCTTTTATCAGAAGTAATTACATAATCAATTTCGTTCTTCACTTTCCCATCTGGGCTTCTCCAAGTCCTCTTTCTTTGTGGAGGCTTTTTAAAGAACGTGTTCATGCAATATATCCACTCTCTGCTCAGAAAATCCAGCAGTATTTGTCCCCTTCCGTTTCTTGTGCCCAGTCTGTAAAATCCAATTTACAGGGTCTATTATCAATTTACAACCTATCTTCGCATTCAGATTGCCGATCATAACTGTGAATTTTTTAGGTTCTTCACATTTCGCTAACAAAAGATCTTGAAGTGGATGTTGAAGTGGGTGCATAAGTCTGTATGATTTTTATATTAAATCCGCTGTTTAATTTAAGGGTGATATATATAACCCTATTTAAAACTTTGCATTTCGAAACTAAATATTTTAGTCTTCTGCGTACTAATATTGTTACCCCATCATTCCGATAATTTTCTTCAAAATTCTTTTGGAATAGCACATGCCCTAATTCTAGGATCGTATTTTCTTCTCCCTTCAACCTGGTTTCACTAATTCCCAATACATTCCATTTGATGTTTTCTAGTTCTCTCTCCAAGCTCTCTAAATGCTTCTCTAATCTCATAGTACGGATGTTGTACGTTAGTATATGTCTTTATTCTTCCATTGTCTTTTCTTTTGTATCGAAATTTTGCCTTCCCCAAAATTCTTAAGGCATCCTGACGAATCAGGATGAGATTCTGAATTGATAGCTCCATTCGTCTGAGATATATCCATGTTTGTTTTAAACTTCGACATCATGAAGGTTTAAGAAGGTAGTGACAACCAAGTGCCACACTTGCCGAACAGGTTTTATTAGCCACCCCAACTTGGGAAACAGACGCTGTTGGTAGTCTGCTCATTTTGAGACAAACGCTATCGGAGGGTACTTTTCTATCGGGGTCGTCTTCTTTAGAAAACGTTCCGGTTTTACGACACCAAAAATTCGCCGTTATCCTTTTCCGTCTGCTACAGACAAGTCGTATCCAGAGTTCACGACGCAATGGAGACATGGAAGTAGGATTTACTGGCAGAGCTACGAAATAAAGTTTCTTAGAAACAGTGTTCCGTGGAAATATATCAGATTCTGGTAGCAGTTTCCAAACAGCGGACATTGCTCTATTTTTTATAGATGAACGTTTTACTCAACATCAGCGGATAGAGGCTCTTTATCAGTCTTTGAGCCTCATCAGTCTTTGAGTTCCTTTTTGAACCTTTTTAAATTTTGAGATTTTGTTGCATAATATATATATTATCACTTTATATTGATCATGTTTTATTTATATTGGCTGCGTTCAGAAAACACAACGGTTACACACCGGTTGAGTAATTCGTCAACGTTATTGGTTTGAATGTAAGGATCTAACAGTAAGGACCAATAGTTACTAAGCACTCAGTGAGCGCTTTGTTTTCTGAACGCAACCATTGTTTTCAAATTTGACATACAGGTTGCGTGAAAGGTTCGCGGAGCGGCATCTATAAGTAAACGGTAGAATTATAAATTGTAGTCGGTTATATAGAATCACTCTTCACATGAACCTAAGTTAGGTTTCATTTCCATCTGTCAATTCTTTCTATGTTTACAAGCCAATTGTAGTTGACGTGTCAGTATATTTGTTTGCAATGGAAAATTTGAAACAGCGTGCAGTGATTGAGTTCTTTGTTAAAAGAGGTTTAAAGGCAATGGAAATTCATTCCGAGATGGTAAATGTGTTAGGGGAATCTGCTCCTTCAAAAACAATGGCTTGTAAATGGGTACTTGAGTTTCAACGTGGTCGTACAAGCATTGAAGATGATCCACGCAGTGGACGTCCAAAAAGCGCATCAACACCAGAAATCATTGAGCAAATACATGTTATTGTTTCTGAAGACCCAAGTGTGACTACGCGTGAAATTGCTCATACCATAGGCATTTCAGATGAACGGGTACAGCATATTTTGCATAAAGAATTACAAATGAAAAAGGTGTTTGGAAAAGTGGTGCTGCATACGTTAACAATTCAACAAAAACTTGCTCGAAAGCAAATTTCTCAGCGTCATTTGGATCGTTTTAAGAAGAATAAAACCGATTTTGTGCGTTGTTTTATAACTATGGATGAGACTTGGATCTATCACCATGATCCTAAATTGAAACAGGAATGTTTACAGTGGACTGAAGCTGGATGTTCAGCTCCAAAGCAAACAAAGCATGAAAGATCGGCAAAAAAGGTTTTGGCATCAGTTTTTTGGGATGCTAAAGGGATTTTGTTAATTGACTATCTGGAAAGAGATAAAACAATTAACTCTGAATATTATTGTAACTTTTTGGATCAATTGGATGTAAAAATCCGTGAGAAAAGACCTAGTTTGCAGTACAAACAAATCATTTTTCACCAAGACAATGCACCTGCTCATAAAAGTGTTTTGTCAATGTCTAAATTCAATGAATTGAAGAATTGCTTGATCATCCACTGTATTTGCCAGATTTGGTACCCAGTGACTTCTATCTGTTCTGAAACCTGAAACAATTCCTCTGTGGAAAGCATTTTTTGTCGAATGAAGAAGCTATAGCAGCCGTAGAGACATATTTCGCAGACCTTCCAGAAACACACTTTTGTGATGGAATAAAATTGTTGGAGAGCCATTGGGCCAAGTGTATTGAAGTTAATGGAGACTATATTGAAGAATAAGATCATTTTTAGAATTAGGTATTCTTTATTTCAGTTTCGCTCCGTGAACTTTTCATGCAACCTGTATATTAAATAGTTTATAATGCGTGCGCATAAGCGTTATATATTAGTATTGATATATTATTTACCACTGTTGATATGAACATAAGATAATAAAATTACTGTCGCTATGTGTATATGACGTCAGTATCTCATAAAAATATATGCACTACACATATATGTCATGTAATAATGAAGAAATTAAATTTTTTATACTTTTTCATTCTAGCATAATGCAAAGTGGAACTCCAACTGTCCAGAGTCCGGAGTCTACCCATGAATATGTTGAAAAACAGGAACCGGTAGGTAATGAAGCTAACACATATGTTAATCTAACAGATCCTGGAAGATTTTTGGATGAGATAGACATGTCTGATCTACCAGAGCTAGATGAAACACAGAAATGTACTTCCGAACACAAGTAAGTTTTATCAATTATATTTTTTATTAATAAATATAGCAAATATAAGTATTTATATTTAAACTTTTACATATTAATATACTTATATATTTACTTTATATATATGTATACATATATATATATAAATTATATAAATATATTAATCCTTTAATAGGCGCACTCAATTTTGTCCTAACTTTAGGTGCGTGAATACTATCGTAGACCACGATATCTCGATCCTCATAGATGAGGCTAATTGCATCCGATTTTCTAGACAATTATATAAAATGTTAGGGAAATTCAGTACTTTCTGTGACATAAATAATAGTGTCCAAAAAAAAAACATTAGTCTACGTATGTGAGTTACGCGCCTACTGGAGGGTTAATATAATTAATATTATATGGATATAATAACACATTTCGTATAAATTAATTTATATACAGGATATTTAGTAACTCATGTGGCCATAGCTAGGAGGCGTAGAGCTGATTGAGATAAAGAAAAAAATCGAATACCGTTGTGCAAAAATCGTAAAAATGGTCGAGTTACATGTGGAGGAAACTCGGGTGAATTAGTGTGCGTCGCGGCAGTATTGGGAGGCGTGCTTAGCGTGGCGAGAGGAAGGACAGGTCGCACGTCAGCAGCTATTGCCAGGCGAAGTGGGCTGCGCTACAATCTCGAGCGGCTGAGCGACTGTTCCACTATTACTGTGGCGCACGATAATTTATTCGATTTTTCTCCATGCGTAGCTCAGACATTTTTGAAAACGATATTTGACTTTTTTTTCTATTTCAATCAATATTACGCTTCTATTGGCTATGGCCACATGAGTTAACGAATACCTTGTATATATTGATAGAATATACATTCTCGCAGTTCAAAAAATTGTGTATATTCTATATTCAATATTACATTTATAAACTTATTTACAAAGATTCGAAGGATCATCTTCAAATTTCTTGAATCTGGTTGTAAGGAACTATGACAAAAATAGGAGACATATCAGGCATAGTAGACTATGTCGGAGAAGGGGAGGATTATCGATGTTTTATATAAATTAGTTATATAACAAACTGAACAAAAAACTTCTTTACAATCGTAAAATTTTGAGTTATAAATTAGAGATGTGCGAGAGATTAGCGCGTGCGAAGTGATATCTCAAACCTTTACTTACTGTTTGCCAATTGGTAGTAAGTAAAGGGCAAAATAATGCTCTTTTAGTATAATTTAAACATATACAAGTGTTTTGCGTCATACGCTTTGTATAGAGGCATTTTATAACACGATAGGTTTTTAGTTTTAGAGATTGTATATAAGCTGTCTGAGAAAGAGAGAGACTCGTCGCATATGCACATCCGCTCATATGCAGGTCTTTTATGAAACTGAGTGAAAAGGTCTTTTATCATTTTGCAAACAACTACATGATAAAATTTCAAGTTATTGATATAAGAAAATTTACAAATAAATACGATAGGACGAGTTCTTAACACTTTGCCGGCCGCTTACTTCTCGCATCGCCTTTACGCTGTCGCCGGCGAATTTCGCGCGGGTTCTACTGCTCGCCGACGGTGATATTAAAGAATGTCAAGAAAAGATAATCGGGATAGTTAAAACAGAAGCATAGTGGAAATATTGTTGCCGCGCTGAATCGAAGTCACGCGTACATGACAGCAACCGATAACCGTCGGCGAACAAAAGTCACGCGTACGTGATAGCGCCCGGCAAAGTGTTAACAGTAATACATGATACTGGATAATATGATACATCTTCACTGAATTCTACTTGCACATGAGCAGACATGTGCAACATATCAGACAACCTATATACCAAAGTAACCCTACAGTAAAAAGAAAACTATAAAGAATGCAAATATTCTGAATCAAAACTCTCAAAATTTTATGGGAAATTTACATACGTTTTTAGCGATGTATAATATTCTGATGTCAAGATCAGTTACATTCTCTTCATTAATCGTATATATTGACCTCGATAATTATGTCTTACAAAGAAACATATGGAAATGTCCTTTTTCGATTTTGATGAGCTTGAAATAATTTAGAGTTGTAATCTGAATCAAAATAAGAAACATGAATTTTTTTTTATACGTGCCTAATCGACTTTTTAAAGGGTGAAACACTCTAAAAAAAATCGGTATTTTTTTTCCGAACATATACCATCAAAACATAATATATATATTCAACACATTCTCTTCGAACTTTCTCATACTAAGAGACGATTAATATACAGAATATATAATCAAAAAACATTTTAATATATAATAACAATAATGCAATAATAACGATAATAATGTTTATGGGCATTATATTCTATTATTATACACTTTGTATCCCGTTATATATATTTTATTTAGTTAAACAATGTCTTATACATGCGAATATTAAATTGTGGAAGGGTAATAATATCTGACAGAGTGTTATTGCATGCATTGAATATTTTTCCGGACTTACAACACGTTAATAAATACGAACAATCTTGCAACGTGAATAGCTTCCGTCGTAGTAGTTACGTCACACATTACAAAAATAGATACATAAACTTCTTATAAATAAAATTTCATTTTTAGACAGCGTATATATACAGGGTGCCCCATTTTAAAGGACTCACTCAAAAATCTCAGAAACACTGCGTTAAATCGAAAAATGCTTAAGACAAAAGTTGTTTAGCTTGAAGGGGGACATAGGATAGCAATAGCATTTTGTTTATAGATGGCTTTACTTTCGAGATATTCACTGATTATCAATTTTCTTAAATGGAAATCCTAGTTTTTTATTATATCATCTTTTTCTATCAATCAATTTAAACAACTTTTGTCTGAAACATTTTTTTATTTGCTTAATATATTTTGAGATATTTAAGGAAAATTTGATAACTTTTCCAACATTTACCTTACGACATCTCGCTAACTATTCGTCAAAAGAAAAAATAATATTAGGCTTTTTTACTTTATTTACTATCAAGAATATATTATTATAATAATGCTCTAACTTTTATTAACTTATTGATCTTTGGAAATTTCAAAATTATTAAATTAATAAAAGTTATGACACTATTATAGTAGTATATTCTTGATAGTAAATAAAGTAAAAAAGTCTAATATTATTTTTTCTATCGACGAATAGTTAGCGAGATATCGTAAGGTAAATGTTGGAAAAGTTACCAAGTTTTCCTTACATATCTCAAAATATATTAAGCAAATAAAAAAATGTTTCAGACAAAAGTTGTTCAAATCAATTGGTAGAAAAAGATGATATAATAAAAAATTTGGATTTCCATTTAAGATAATTGGTAATTAGTAAATATCTCGAAAAGGGAGCCATCTACAAACAAACTGCTATCGCTATCCTATGTCCCACTTCAAGCTAAATAACTTTTGTCTTAAGCATTTTTCGATTTAATGCAGTGTTTTTGAGATATTTGAGTAGGTCCTTTAAAATGGGACACCCTATATATCTTTTCAGAAAGACGAAGTGGCGATATGATTATTGTTGCATATAAAATAATTAGTATTATTATTGTTGTTATTATATATTAAAATGTTTTATGATTACATATTCTATACATTAATACTAATCATCTCTTAGTATGAAGAAGTTCTAAAGGAACGTGTTGCATATGTATATCGAATGGAATAGGCAGCTATATACAGTGTTACAAATATATAGAGGTGTTCCTATCTATCTTTCGAATAGTCTCTATGTCGGAAAGCAGCGTTAATATACATGATTGGATTCGGCATAAAATATCCTTTCATTTGGTAGAAACAAAATGTTTGGATTATAAAAAAATTGGTAAATGGGGAGAGAACGTTTATAATTTATTATATTATAATTTTAATAATAAAAAAGACCGCTTTAAAGTAACTTTTTTTAACTATTTTTTTATTTGCTTAATATATTTTGAGATATGTAACGAAAACTTGGTAACTTTTCCAGCATTTACCTTACGATATCTCGCAAACTATTCGTCGATAGAAAAAATAATATTAGACTTTTTTACTTTATTTACTATCAAGAATATACTACTATAATAATAAAAAAACACCGTTATAAAGTACTCTCCAAACCATTAAATTTCTATTCGGAAAGTTCTTTTCTGCCTCTTGTATTTTTGTCGATGGTATATGCTCTGAAAGAAAAATATCAATTTTTTTTTCAAAAGAGTGTTCTCTTTTTATAAGGTCAATTGAGCATAAATAGATTCATGTCCTTTATTTTGGTTTAGATTACAATATATTGTATAAGCTCATGAAAATCGGTGGGGGACGCTTCCATGTGTTTTCTTGTTAATAATTTATTGTACAACTCATTTAAATATTATCAGGAGGAAAACCAAGGTGCCTGTTAAAATTTTGATTCCACCTTTGGGAAATGGAGAAAAACCAAGGTCAAATATAATATTTTACTCTCGTTTTTCTTACTTGGTGTTTGGTACTCAGAAATATAGAGAAAGTATTTGCACGTTTTGTGAACATAATATTGAGATATCAAAGAAAACGGTTGCTATAAAATGCGCTTTTATCCTCACACACACACGCATATGAAAAATTGACTTTAAAGTACAAAACATACAAATATTTTAACTCACTGTACTCTTGTTTGTAGAACAGTTTGAACACGTTTTTTCGACTCACTCTGGAATGTAGCGGACGTCCAATTGACGAATTTACTTTTGAGTAATTCTCATAAAATGGCTTTATTCATTGGACGTGTCGGATACACTTTCAAATATGTAGGAAAGGAAATGTTCGTACCGTTCTGCAATAGAGTGTGCAATGTGTCTACAGTTATTTTGTTTTAGTGAATTGCCATACGTTACTTTGCATGAAATTCATTCATTTGTGATATCGTTTTGTAGAAATATATTAGATGAAAATGATGGCACCACAAAACTTATTCGTTATTCGACGAGATCGATAATGATTAAAAATGTTTTAGAAAACGCATACTTAATGACGTCAGAATAAAATATCCTTCATTATTTCATCGTTACTTCCTATAGCATGTTGACTTTTTTAAAATTGTTTACAGGAACTCTTAATTGTTTCTGTTACACTATACTTCATTTTTTTGCATTTCAATATTAACATATTTGTTTCAAGGAATGGAATATTCCGCCTAGAAAAAAAGTGTCAACTATGAGAAAGATATGGCACTTTATTGTCAAAAGCAATTTTTGCCTTCTATGTTTTTATTTCCCTGTATAATATCGACTTACATTCAGCATAATTATATTTATTTGATAGCGATTGTATCGAGATATATTTTGTTGTTAATTTGATGAATTTAGAATATTTGCATGAATTTTCTTCTAATAGTTTCTAAAATATATGGTAGACTTTTTTTTGTATTTTAGTTATTTATCTTGAGTGGTAATATTGACCTTTTGAGTGCAAAATATCTCAGAATGAAACAATCGCTGGGAGTGAAATTTATGACTTTGGATTGTTGTACGTTAATTGATGAAAAAAAGAAATAACTTCCTGAATATCGAAAACAGGAGATTTAGACATATGAAACTTAATCTATCTTCTATAATTTATTTATTGAATAGTTATAATTTACTAATAATGAAATTTTTAATAACAATTATAATTTAATATTAAATATTTAATATTAAATATTTGTTACATATTTATCCATTTAACTAATTATATAGTTTATATATTATTAAACTGTACTAAATTAATTCTATTAGGTTATATATTATTATTGCTGAATTTATTATTATTATTGAATGATTTATAAAAACGCAAGAACAGTCAGTCAGTATGATTATCTAACAATAATTGATAATTATAAATAGCAATAATTGATAACTACTGTTTATGAGAGCGATGATACAAATTGAAGAAAATAATAGGATACATATATGCATCTATAGTGCATGTCATAGCATTTAACGCAGAGGTTTCCAACCGGAGGTGCTCGCATCCCTTAGGGGTGCGAGAAAACATTCTTGTGGGTGCGAGGAAAAGTGATTGTAATTGATAATGATTAAGATGAATTCTGAAATAATCTGGCATTTTTACTATCAAATAAAAAAAATGTTATTGAAATTATATATCTTTTATGTATCTGTACGTATATATTCATTACGTATCACTATGCGAAGCTTGATATCATGGATAATAATTTTATAATATTAAAATGATAGTTAATTTCTATAAAACAATACTATATGATAATAAATTACTATAAATTAACTTCTTACCTTAAAATTCCAACAACTAATTTTTACCATAGAACATACGAATAATTTTTTTTTGTAGGGGATGCGAAATGCGTTCATTAATAAATTTTTAGGGGTGCGAAATACAATAAAGGTGAGAAACCCTGATTTAAAGGATGCATATATGTATCCAGAGCACTCAAGAGGTTAATGAAACAGGAAGGGAGAAATGAATTTCCAATGGTGTTATAAATTAAAATTGAGGATTAGCATTAGTTTGTCACCACTTATAGGGAAGAGTTACATTTACTCGAAATACCGGTCGAGGAGGAAGCACCAGTACCTATTACTTTATTGAACAACAAGTCGATTGGTTCAAAGCCAGTACCCGTAGCGACGGTGCGCAGTTCGAAACTTACAGCAATGGCAGCTAACATGAAGAAATCTCAGCAAAACATTGATCTAGAAGTAGATATGGAAGCTTCAGTAGATCTAGATGATGAAACTTCAGACAATGATACTTCTAGTCCAGTGGAGTTTGAAGATATTCCAACAGTTTCGAAAGCATCCAACAATAAGAATGCACGTATTTACAAAAAGAAGCAATTAATCATCGATCGCAGACTTAATAAAGGGATTAACAAGGGATTTAATAATATTTATGGTGGTAAAAGCGTTCTGAAAAAGAATAGTAAATGGCACGAGAAAGATGCAGTGGTGAAACCTTTACATGAGGAGAAAGATAATCACAACATAGCGAGTACGAGCTCGTCCAAGGACTTGTCCTTGAGCTGTCTCAATTCATCCAGTACATCTGAGACTAATTACAGGTACTAATATAATCTGCGAACGATCAGTAAAGAAAACAATTTTGTTTAAATAGAATGAAAATCAAATTTATATGATGGACCGAATTAATAACGCATTATTTTTATTTTTTTTATGCTTTATATATTGGACATAAAGTTCTTCACATATATATAAACTTTATATATTGGACATAAAAGACTTCACTCATTATATTAGCACCAAAATTCTACTCAGTATAATTCATTCGAATTGATTGGGAAGCCAAAATTTGATTTGATAAATTCTATCTGAATCAGATAGAAAACAAAAATGATACTAGAAATGGACTACTATCAACAATATACAGGATGAATCATCTAAAACAGGTTACCTGAATAACTTTGAAAATATGCAAGATAGAAAAAAATGTTAAATATAGAAGTTGTAGGTTTTTAAGTGATACATCACATAGCAATATTAATATGATCTTGAATAGTGCCGAGGTCACATAAGAATCACTTTGAAATTTGTGATTGGAAATCCCCTTTTTTATTATATCATTTTTTTCTACTAATTAATTCGAAGAACTTTTATCGAAAACACTTTTTTTGTTTAATATTTTTTCATTCAAGATATTTAAGGAAAATTTAGTAATTTTTTAAATATTTGGTACGATACCTCGGTAATTATTGTCGGAAAAAAGTGGTATTTGACATTTTACTCTATTTGGTTTTTTAAGTTAATAAAAGTTAATGTAACTATTGTAACAGCATATTCTTGAGACTAAATACAGTAAAGAAGTTTAATATCACTTTTTCTCCGACAAATAGTTACTAAGATATTATAAGGCAAATATTGAAAAAATTATCAAATTCTTCTTAAATATCTTGAAAAATAGATAAATAAAAAAAATATTTTAGATAAAAGTTGATCGAATTAATTGGTAGAAGATATAATAAAAAATGATAATTTCCATTAAAAAAATTAAATTCTTCTCGTAATCTTGATGACGGTGTTCGAGGTCATACTAGTATTGTTATGTGACACGTCACTTAAAGCCTTACAATTTCTATTTTTAAAATTGTTTTCTATCTTCCATATTTTCAAAGTTATGCAGGTGGCCTGTTTTACGTGCCTCATCCTGTTATTTTGCACTATAATGTATAATATAATAGAGGTTAAATACATACCTCTCTTATCAAAATTATTATCGTGTATAAACTATATTGTTTGTGCGAATTTTTAGGACTATTCTATAATATCTTATATTGAATATTTTACTATAAGATTACTATAATAAGATATATGCTATAAGATTACTATAATTGAACATTTTATAAACTGCTGACTATAACTGCTGCTTTTATTTATTTTTCATTTAACGTTTTAAGATGCATGCTTGCTAATACTTGATATATGCTTTTGTTATATACTTGTACGACATAGAGTAAAACACATATCTTTTGTTAAAATTATGATGAATTGCATAGTTTATGTGATAATTTTTCAAGAAAATTAATTGCTCTTTCTATTTGATCTCTAATGATTCACGCTTGCTAACACTTTGTTACATACTCTTGCTGCACTTATATTTATATAATATAGATGTAAAATAATTACATCTTGTCACAAAATTATGACATCATCGTGAACTGTACTGCTTAAATAACCATTTTTCAGAAGCATTCCATAGCATATTATATTGGACATCTTTTATAAGCTGATTATAATTACTGCTTTTATTTATTCTTCATTTAATAGTTTAGGATATGCACTTACTAACGTTACGTTGATACATGCTTTTATTGCATTTGTATCTGTACAATATAAAGTGTTGGGTGAGTGCGAAAGTTTTGATGGATTTTTCAAAGATGTGACCGATGTGTGACCGATATAGTTTTATAGCAGCAGTTACAAACATGTAGATGTATAATATAACAAAAACAATAGAAAATAATGTTGATTACTTGGTAGAAAAAAAGAGAATACATCAATATACAAGTTTTCAATAAAATTACTCCATTATTTATTAGTTAATTCTTCTATGATGAAATCTATCAAAACTTTTGCACCCAATACATCATTCTTATCAAAATTATTATCACAAACCACACTTTAAACAATTATTTTTGAGGATTATTCTGTATCATTTAGGAACATTTTATATCATCTTATATAGAGCATCTATATAAATTAACCATAGTTGCTACTTCTATTTATTTTTCATTTAATAGTTTAAGACACGCACTTGTTAACGTTTGATACATACTACTAGTAATATATTTAGTCATACTTGCACTCTGAATAAGGATAAAGTATGTATCTCTTATCAAAATTATTATCGTGAACCACACCATTTGAACGATCATTTTTCAGAAGCATTCTATAGCATTTTACATGGAACATTTTACATAAGTCATCTATAATTGCTATTTCTGCTGCTTTATTTTCTATTTAATAATTTTCTTTCCGTTCATATAATGTTCTGTCCATATTAAAATTTCTAACCATTGTGTAATTATTTATAGAGATTTAGATAATCACCTGGAATCGATGCAAGCGGAGCTGGACAACATTTGTGATTTGCTGCATACTGAAGGCTGCAGCATTGATGCCAATGCCTTCCTTGGAGTTAGTATTAATACTGCAATAATACAAATAGATATATGTGTGATAATACTTGGTATATGATAATTTCCATATTTGGATATTTACTCTTAATAACTTGGTGCTTAATTTGAATATTTCGCTTGAACTCACAAATGCATACTCATTCTTATCATGAAATACAATTAAAGCTTATTTTTTCATCTTATTTTCGGGATCATTTCAAGATTAATGAAAGTATTTTTAGAGAAAAATATTATATAAATAAGAAATAAATATTATATAAATAAGAAAAATATTTGAGACAGAAAAGTTTCTTTTTTGCGTATAATCCAAATCTATAATTAAAAAGTATCATTAGTCATCAAGTACATTAAATGGTCGCATTAAAATATTACAAAAAACTTCAATTTTTGGTGTGGATGACATATTTCCGGACCGAATTGGAAGTTAAAAATATTATCCCTTGTATAAGCCTTAAATAGCATCCCTTACGGAAAAAGTACTTAAATATTGAGTTTACATTCAATTGTACAAATTTACTCTCAAATATGGATATATGTATACATTGAAATATATATATATTTGAGAGTATATACCCACATTTAAGAGTAAATTCGAACAATTGAGTATAAAAACTCTGAGTGTTTTCCTATAAAAGATCCGATGTAGAGTGTGTCTGATTTACTTATCAAAATTATTCGGAATTTTGATAAAAACTACTTCTACTTTCACGCTTAATTTTCTGAAAATGAGGAAATTTCACTTTTAGCAGATATGATTGAAACCATAAGAACAAATAATTATAATAGACATAATATAGTATTTCACAATTGTGTATTAAAATTTTTCGAAAATTTTTTTATTTATCAATTCCACTATTATTTTTATGAACTTTGAGATTTTTATAAGAGTAAATTAAAAAATAACATCAAATTTACTATATACAGAGTGTCCCATTTTAAAGAACCCACTCAAATATCTCAGAAACACTGCGTTAAATCGAAAAATGCTTAAGACAAAAGTTATTTAGCTTGAAGGGGGACATAGGATAGCAATAGCATTTTGTTTATAGATGGCTCTACTTTCAAGATATTCACTGATTATCAATTTTCTTAAATGGAAATCCCAGTTTTTTATTATATTATCTTTTTCTACCAATCAATTTAAATAACTTTTGTCTAAAACATTTTTTTATTTGCTGAATATATTTTGAGACATTTAAGGAAAACTTGATAACTTTACCAACATTTACCTTACGATATCTCGCTAACTATTCATCGAAAGAAAAAATAGACTTTTTTACTTTATTTACTATCAAGAATATATTATTATAATAGTGCCCTAACTTTTATTAACTTATCGACCTTTGGAAATTTTAAAATTATTAAATTAATAAAAGTTACGGCATTAATATAGTAGTAGGTAATTAGTAAATATCTCGAAAATGGAGCCATCTATAAACAAAATGCTATCGCTATCCTATGTCCCACTTCAAGCTAAATAACTTTTGTCTTAAGCATTTTTCGATTTAATGCAGTGTTTCTGAGATATTTGAGTAGGTCCTTTAAAATGGAACACTGTATAACAATGAAAAGTATAAAAACTTATATATACATAGGCGCGCGCGCGCTCCCCTCTCACTCTTTCTTTTTTAGTTTCGATAATATTACTAAAAGTAAAATTTCCGCATTTTCGGAGTTAAATATACAGGGTGTCTCAGAACTTTGGGACACGGGCTCCGTAGGGACATAGAGCTAAGTGAAAAGAACAAAAAAGTCCTCTACCATAATGAAAATCGTAATAATTTTTTAGTAATAATCGCGGAAAGTTTGGCGTTTTCCAAGCCCAGCGCGGCCTATAGATGCTCCGCAAGCTGTATGCGTAGGGGCTGAGCAATAATCAGCATCTCGCGCTGACTGTCGCGATGGCGTCTTGGCGCTTTGACGCCGCGCGACGGTCAACGCGAGCCGCGTTATCGCTCAGCCCCTACGCATACAGCTTGCGGAGCATCTATAGGCCGCGCTGAGCGTGGAAAACGCCAAACTTTACGCGGTTATTACTAAAAAACTATTACGATTTTCACATTATGGTAGAGGACTTTTTTGTTCTTCTCACTTAGCTCTATGTCCCTATGGAGCCCGTGCCCCAAAGTTCTGAGACACCCTGTATACAAGATGGGGGGTTATAAGTTTACAACCCGAAATGTAAAGGCTTAGGCCCAGTTGATCCAGCAACTGTTGCCGGTGCGTGGCGAGGGGAAAGACAATGCGCTGATATTCGTTGTTTTATCTCGCCGGACCTACGTCTCGCCGCACGCCGCCAACAGTTGCTAGATCGAGTGGGCCACGCTGCGGCCTAAGCAGCTGCAACGCTTCTCTAATTATTTATGCCGGCGCGCTCCCACTCCTCAGATTTCTGTCATTAATAACTCGATAATTATTGCGAATCTCGCAAAACGGTATGGGATTTTTATGTTTGTCTTAACCCAATCTATCTTCACACTTCTGGTTGTAAACTTATAACCCCCCACCCTGTATATAAAAAAATTAAACGATATTTATATATATATGTGATTAACAATGGATACAAAAAATGTTTAATACTTTTTACATATTTTACAAATATGTATTTAAAGTTTAGTGAAGCACTTCTCTCCGCGTCTTTTAACTTATAAAATTGATTTTTTTCTTGCAGTTATTCGATTCAGAAGAACCTATGGCATATGGAATTGCAGATTTACCACTGAATCCGGAATTAAATCCGGAAAGCGATAAAGAGATAGAAAATCGTTTTCCCGGTTAGTTATCATATTTTTTATAATTTTATAATAAATTCTTGGTAAGTTATCTAATTTTTTATAATTTACGGTAAGTTATCTAATTTTTTATAATTATATTTTTTTAATTTTTTCTAATTTAAATCTTGGAACTATCTTTAAATTTTTTTCTTAATTAAATAAAAAGAATGAAACGTGGATCAAATGGAAGTGATGAAAATAATTTTGATTATAGAACCGGGAAACGGATTCAATCGTGGACTCATGACGTATAATTCATCAAACTATGATTTTGAGGATATATTTTTACTTGAGGACCCATCATCTTCATTGTCAGTGCCTGAAACTATAAGTCTAGCTCCAGAGCAAATGTCCAATCCTGATTCTTCAAATTCAAAAGAGGAAGAAACACCTTCATTTCTCGAGAATTTTCAATAAAAGGATATGAACTCAACGTAAATTCTACTGTTTCTGGTAAGTCTATTTTTTTTAATCGATTTTTAAAGCTAATGTTTTTTTATACATTCTTCGATGGTAGATGTTCTTCATATTGGCAGAGGAGCCGTAATATCAGTGGCAAGAATAAAAACTTTCTCCAGCATAACAAATGCATTTTTCACCGCATAGCAAATGCGAGTAAGTTCTGTTGCGTGCTACGAGTGGTAAAGATAGACAGCAATGAACAGCAAATCTGTGTTTGTCCTTGTCTCACATAGGATAGCTGACATAGATTAGCAACGGTTGGCATGAGTCAGCGGCTTATTTCTCATGGTCTACCCTTCATGTATTCTTTCTTTCACGCGATGTCTTAACCCTTTAACGCCCGACTTTTTTATAAGTATTTTAAGAATAAAATTTGAGTTTTTTTTTAACTGAGACTGTAAATAGTGATAACCAAAAAAAATATCAGAATTTTATATGTACAGAAAACTACCTTCTGAATAAATGAGTACATGACGTTTCCGCTTTTCGTTTGTTTCGTTGGTTTCGTTAGTTGGGTTTTTTTTATCGTTCGTTTTCTGTTTATTGGTAAATATGACTTAGATCCTAAAAGCATATACGAAATGAGCAACCTATACAGAGAAAAATGAAGGATAATCTATACGACATAACTCTGATAGTTAGCTTGATATTTTTTAGCTGAAACTTTACTATATTTGTGAGTGAAGTTTATCATTCAGAGCGTCAAGCATACTATTTCAGAAGAATATCTTATAGATCACCATTTAGATAATCAATCGTCTCTTCATTTTTCGTCGCATAAAAAACTATAGGTCACCAGGTTTCACGAAAATAGGTTGATTTCTTGATTTTCGTGTCCATCATATTGGATTCGTCATTTTGAATTTCTGTATTCTTTTGATTTCACATTTTGTATCTGAGAAAGCTTCAAAATGTATAAAATTATAACAGATACCAACTATTCATTTATAATGCACTTCTAGATGTCAATAACTATGCCTACTTGGAATTTGACAACATATTATCATTAACACATTATCATTAATATATTATCATTAAAACTGAGCTAAAAACAGAATAAACCGAATCTATATACAATCTATGTATCATTTTTTAGAAGAAGAATTCACCTTTACAGTGGTGCAAAGAAAACGAAAATATCTTCTTTTTTGACTAAGTTATGGATTCTTAAATGCGTTTTTAGTAACTATAGTTACCAGTAGGCGTTAAAGAGTTAAGACCTGCGTATATATATTACTGTAATCCCTTACGCTATTTTCTGTTATGCGACATTCTACAGAAACGTAACGTAATGTAACATAATGTAAGACGTTACATTGTTTTTCCTTGTACATTGGGTTAGTTTATGTGTCACGTAACATAAACTTCTGACGTAAATAGTATATAAGATACTATACGACAATGGGTATGCTGTGGTCCTTAGTCAGATAGAAAAATATTTGGAGGCTTGGGACGACTCGTAACATTGGCATATCGAAGCCAGTAAACGCCCACTTTTTACAAATTTTAGTATGCTTGCATACGTACGCGCATATGTGTATAATTTATACATAATAATTATATGCGTTTGTTCTTACGTTATATAGGATAATAAGAAATAACATATTGGTTAATATGTTAAAGTAAAACATGCCAACAATAATAATTGACAAGGAAAGTGTACGAAGTGATGATTGCGAATGGCTATATATTATATATTATTGGAAAGATTTAGACTAGCAGACTTTACTTGTGCAATGGTTTGCTGGAATGGCACTTCTAGAAGGTGCTTTATGCAATATAAGTTATACAGGGTGAAGAAAAAGTTAAAAAATTTCCGAAAAGAATGTTTCATACTAAAGTTGTAAGATTGTAAATGACGTATTACATAGCAGTGTTAGTATAGGATCTTGAGTAGCGTTATCAAGGTCACGTGAAGGTCACCTTAAATTTTTTAATAACCCCTATTTTTTTATTACATATTGTTGTACCTCACCTTGAGAATTTTTCAAAACATAACGAAAAATTTTTTTTATAAAGTACTTTTCAAATTATGGAGCTTAAAAATTACGGTATCGTCAGTATTAGCATTATCCAAAGTGTTCCAAATTTGGCAAATTAGACAAGAGATTCGTATGAAATTTCTTCCAAAATGTTTTTAAATTCATCGTTGACCGAAATTCAGAAAAAAAACCATTCTGATTATATTGCATTATATTGCATTATTACTATTACAATAGATTCGTGGGGATTTGCGTGCTTATGCACACACACACACACACACACACACACACACACACACACACACACACACACACACACACACACACACACACACACACGCACACGCACACGCACACGCACACGCACACGCACACGCACACGCACACACGCACACGCACACGCATGCACACGTACACGCATACAGAGGTGTAAATTCAATCTCTACGCGGTACATTTTGGATAATGCTAATGCCGGCGGTACTGTAACTTCCAAGTTTCATAACTTGAACAATATTTTATAAAAAAATACTTTGTTATATAAAAAAAATAGTGTTTTGAAAAGCTCTTGAGGTAAGCTATAACAATATGTAATAAAAAATGGAGGTTTCACTTAAAAAATTCAAGGAGACTTTCACGTGGCATTGATAACGCTACTCAAGCTTAATACTGCTACGTAACGCGTTATTTAAAATCCAACAACTTTTGTATGAGACATTTTTTCGAAAATGCTTTGATTTTTTCCTCATCTTGCATACATTGCATATAGCGCCTTCTAGAAGCGTCATTCAAGCGAACTATTGTATAGGTAAAGTATGCTAGTCTAAACTTTTCCTATAATATATAGCCATTCGCAATTACCATTTTGTGCACTTTCTTTGTAAGAGACTTACTACGTTTTTACTTTCGAGGAATTTTAAATATAGATTACATATAGTTTTGATTTATTGACAAAAAGAGTACCAAGGATTGTCCTTTCCGGTTTTACCGAATTTGATATGTTTTAGTACTTCCCCATTAATTAAAAGTAAAGTGATTCGACATCATTCTCAAGTACTAGGTATGCAAATATGAAACCGGAATTTTTGTATAGAAAATACACGTTTATTGTATGAAAATGATAAAAAATATTTTATTCGAAGTATTGCCCATCGCTAGCTATACATTTTTCCCACCTGTCTGACAATTTGTGGATGCCACGCCAAAAAACTGTTGCTCTTTTGAGGCAAACCAGTCATCGAGCCATTTTCGTACATTTTCATAAGAAGTGAAGCACTGCTCAGCAAGTGCGTGTCCCATCGATGCAAATAAGTAGTAATCCGACGGAGCAAAGTCTGGTGAGTAAGCCACATGCGAAAGTATTTCCCAACTAAACGCCTCAATCGTTTCCTTGACCAGTTTTGCTGTGTGTGATGGTGCATTATCATGAAGCAAAATCACTTTGTGTTGCCTTTTTTGATATTCTGATCGTTTTTCACGCAAAGCTTGATTCAAATCGATCATTTGTTGTCGGTAGCGTTCAGTATGAACGGTTTCGCCAGGTTTTAGCAGCTCATAATAGATCACACCCTTCTGATCCCACCAAACACAGAGCATTGTCTTCCGTCCATAGCGATTTGGTCTTACAGTCGATGTCGATGGTTCGCCTGGAGTTACCCATGATCTGTTATGCTTAAGATTCTCAAAATATATCCACTTTTCATCACCAGTCACAATTCGATGGAGAAATTACTTTCTTTTGTACCTGGCGAGCAGCATTTCGCAAGTGGTTTTTCGGTTTTCCTGCTGTCTTTCATTCAGTTCATGTGGAACTCATTTTTCTATCTTCTGGATCTTTCCCATGGCTTTCAAACGTATGGAGACGGCTTCTCGTGTCATATTTAATTGATCCGCGAGTTGTTGTTGCGTTTGAGCGTCATCCTCATCTAACAATGCTTGCAATTCGCTATCTTCAAACTTTTTCGGTGGTCTTCCACGTTCTTCGTTTCTCACGTCAAAATCGCCACGTTTGAATTTTTTAAACCACTCAAAGCACTGTGATTTATCAAGAGCATGCTCACCGTAAGCTTCGACAAGCATTCGATGTGATTCTGCAGCAGTTTTCTTCAAATGGTAACAGAAAATGAATGCTGTCCGCAAATCGTAGCTTCCAGGCACAAAATTCGACATATTCAACGCTACTACAAACTATGCTGTTGTATGAAACTTGTATTGTTGTGAGTTGAAAATCTTTGTCAGATGTCAACAAATGGAAATGGCGCCAATGACGCGGTTTGACGGTAACTACATTGACAGCTAGGGCCATCTGTGGGCAAATTCCGGTTTCATATTTGCAGACCTGGTATTCGCAAAAGAAATTAATATTATGAATTTAAAGTGTACCTAATGTACCAAGTTATAAATAGTTATAACGTACCAAGTTATAAGAATAGATTTTCAAGAAACGGCGATAATTGAGATTATAAGGCAATTGATTGGTATGCTGCAATTCTGTATGTTGCGGATTCGAAACTTGTTTTTATCAATTCTTTTATCTACGGTAAAGCACAATATTGTATAATGTATTTTTATTAATAAAAACATAACAAAAATTAATTTATTTTATATAAATCAAAATTGCAAGTAAAAGGACAATCAAGAGTCAAAGATTAAAGAAAATCAGCGCATATAATCCAAATTACAATAGCTTACGCAGAACATTTCGACCATAGTATTTGATTATCATCAGCTGCATACAAATATCCAACACATAAATATATACATTATATAAATATATACATTATATATATAAAAAGAATGCAGACGCAGTCGACATCATGTTCCCAATGTCAGTTGATGAATTTGAATAAAGAGTAAGTCTAATAGATCTTCACTATTTGCGTAGCGATGTAGCGATTAAGCGCGTACGTATATTACCGAGCACCTTGCTTATGGTATCACTTTCACTTATAAAATTGCAATGTCCGTATAATTTAAATATAAAACATTATATATGGATGGATTCAGAATGA